CCCCAAAACCCCAAAACCCCAAAACCCCGTAAGGTAGATTCTGCTAGTTTAATTTTACAATAATAATGAATTATGAATTACTCTAATTTATTTATAGTCACAGCTCGTATGTATTGTTAAGAAAATCTTGAATCTTTTTTCCTTGGATTAACTTGGTAAATCCTCCATTTTTCCAACCTTTCTTAATAATAAAGTTACGATTGAAAGCAGACTCTAATAGAGCTATGTCCTTTAGAAGCAGAGATTCTTTTGGATCCACTGATTTCTTAAAGCTCACCCATTAATCTTTATCTATCTAAAAAATGCAGGATTCCTCATCCGCATGGCAATTTTCCAGTCTGCAAACATAATTTTTATCTAGCAAGCATTCCTCACCTGCTGTAAATCCTGAAATAACTTTCCCAATTTAACCATTCTTTCTATTCCAAAAGCTTAGACAACCGGAAATGACAATATAAATCGACTTAGATTCATCTTCTTCTTTGTATAATATTTTACCTTTTTTGAAGTTCACTAGTGAGAATGCATGAGATATCAAGAGTTTGATATTTTATTTATTCATCTTTTTGAAAATAGTTATTCTCATTATCTCATTCATTAATGAGACTGGGATCTTCTAGTCTTAAGAAGAACTCTACTCCAATAGATATTATTTCAACTGAATCTTAAAATTACTATCATCTATAGAAGATGGTGTAGTACCAGATGAACTCAAGTCGAAGGTCTAATTGATCTTTTGTTTAGATAATGGGGAAATATTTCTATCTTAGAGATATTTATCAAGTGCACTTTGTAGCTAGTTATCATCTAATAAATCTTATTGTTGTGGATCATTTGAAATTTGCTAAACTGTTATACTATTATTATTTCTTGATGCAATGTTTGGCAATTATTTTATGCTCATATATGGAGTTGCCATCGGTTTCAGCACACTTTTGCATCTTCCTCTGGTGCTATATGCATCTTAAGTTTCAACTTTGTGAAAGAGATTATTTTCTAATTTGCTATTAAGCTTTAAAGCTGATAAGTTTTTTTATTGTTTTTACTATTCAATGATCTTCTGTATTTTAAGCCTTTCTAATTTTGCTGAAGGTTAAACTGATTAGCTCATCGCTATTCTTTTGTTTTCAAATGCTGTTTTATTTCTGGTCTCGTTCTGAGACTCATAATAGCCGAGCTATGCTAATAGTAACTTTCCATCTTAGATTTATTTTTGTGGATAAGATTGCATTTTATTAGTGAGCAAACTAAGCTTGCTTGATCTATTACTATACTTATGGTTTTTAACATTATTAATTGTATTATACTCAGTTGATTCACTCATTTCACTCATTAGAATACTGCTATTTTTAGTTTCTTTTTTAAGTTTAAAAGTCCCAGGCTATTTCTATTTTAGCATTAGCTTCTAAGTTTAGCTAACAAGAAGAGGTTCAGTAATTTCATCTTATAATTCTTGGTTTGCTATAGGCTGATCTGTTTTAATCAATTAATTTTCATCAATCTAATAACTTTAGCTTCTTATTTATCTATGAGGAGATTTTTAAGATTGCTATTTCTTATTCTCAAGATCTTGAATAGGTTATGGTTTTATTTTCTTTATTTTGGTGATTTTAGTCTCTAACTTAAGAGAACCAATTTTCTCTAATTTTGTTTCTGATTATATTTTTGCTATTGTGGAATCTATATTAATGTCATTTTTTCCAATTTCTATAACTATGCTCTCAACTACTTGATTATCTTCTTAAAACTAATCTTAAATTTAAATATGCTCTTTTTATGTATTAGCTTCAGCATAATCATTTGCCATTTCATGATCATTTTAATCTTTTTAATTAATTTCAATTTTTTATTGTTGTAATTTCTAATTTGAATCAACATTAGGCTACTTTGTCTCCTCTTGAATCATCAGCTCTGTTGGATTAATTCTTAATTTCAGTTTTCTAGGTGATCTATCTTATTTTGCAAAAGTCGAATATTAATCAACAGAATCAAATCTAACTCTAAGCATAGAATTACTAGTATCTCTTAATAAATCCTAATTTTATGAGGACTGTATTTATTCCTATTTCTACGGCCTTAGATTTTGCTTACTATTCTTTGGACTCATGCAGAATATTCTTTTAAATAAAGAAGATGGTTGATTTTATTCAGGAGAATCAGATATAGCTTCCTTATTAAAATTAATTTTAGTTGTAGACATTCTCATTTATTTCTCCATTTCAGAGTTCTAACTTTATTGCTACTTCCCAATCAGGTTTTGAATCTTGGTCCTTGGACTATTCTCTGGTGAAATCGATTTTCTAGGAGATGAGGATCGCCTGTTTCTGGGCGACAAAGCTTAAATGTTTTGAAATAGTTTCATATTGGGTTTTCTATATTTAGTTGCAATTTAAGCGACATTGTCATATTCGAGTTGTCCACTTATGATGCTGAAAAGAGTTTGGAATTCTTCTTTATCATTATCTTATCTAATTATGAATGGTAATTAAGAGAATCAACTAAAAATATTACTGGAATAATTTGATAGGATTTTAAGACATTACTTTTTATTAAAATATATTAATTTCTAAATTTATTATGTTCATAATTATCAATAAAAGTTTTTAATTAAATCTTTTGCTCTTCATCTTGTCATTTCGCCCCTGCTTTGTAGCTGTTTAACTTCGATAGAAAATCAGGATTTTTAGTAATTTTATTTTTCTCTTCTTCTTACTTTCTCTTATTAGCCTCAATTTATTCTTATATCTTTCTGTTTCTATCTTAAATGAACTCTTTTGACTCTATTTCATTACTATCTAGTAAATTCTTCTTTTCATTACCTTCCTACTCTCTAATTCTTTTTTATCCCCTCTCGTATTTATCATATTAATATTCTTTCGAAATATGTTCAGCTGGTCTCTTAGTCAAAAGCTCTGGCTTTCTTTCATTGACTGTATCTTTTCGAATAGAGATTATTGATTATTTTTGATATTCCTCTTTTCTCTGCTTATTTTCCTCTCTATTGTTCTCTCCTCTGTTTTGATGATAATCGAACTTCTCTGCATCCTTCTTATCTCTCTTTCACTATGATTCCTAACTTTATTAATCAATTTCTTGCTAATTTCTTCCTTAGCTGATTTGATTATTTCCTCCCATTGGTATTGATATTTTGGATCCTTAAATTAGAGCAGATTAATTACTGTCTTCTGGTTTAGGCTCTTTCAACTTTTTTTTTGCAGCTGCTTTTTTATCACCTCCCTTAATCTTTTCCATAAGTCTCTCAATATCTTATTTCCTCTTTTGCTCTTCTAATTCCTTCTATATTCTTTATTCTTCTTAGTGTCTTTATTTCCTTTACTCCTCAATTTTCGCTTTATTTTGGTATTTAGGCTTGTTTATAACTGATAATAGCTCCTCTGAGGCTTTATCCTAGGCTCTTACTAATCGAGCCATTTCATCTTCTGATGCCATAGGAATATTAGGTTCTGGATTTCTATTTTTATCATGTGGTCTTTAGGTATGCTTCGGATTCCATACTGACTTATTACCCATTCTTTGTTCAGGTAATTACTTATTCAGAAACTCATCCTCTGTATTTCTGCTTGATACTTTACCTTTTTCGTCCTGTAATAATCCCCAAGCTTTGAGGCATTCTATCTTCACATTTTTTAATGCTTGCTCAGGTGCTGATAGTTGCTAGAACAGTTTAAAAAATACTCAATAAGAACTTACCTCTATTGCTTGCTTAAGATACTCCTATCTGTAAATAGCAATACTTTCATTTATATTTTTGATATATTTGGCGAATTTATCTTCTAGATCTAAGACATGAGGTGGTAAAAGCTATCCATATAAGAAGTCACTTTGATTCTCAGTTTTAATCATTTCCTCATAAAGCTATTCTAATAGTATTAATTCAGGTGGATTTGGCTATTTTAAATCACTGCACACGATAATTTAATCCTAAATGTATAATATTGATAGTTATATTACAGATGTCAATGGAGATTAGAGAATAGGTTTAGTTAGTATCATGCTTTGAAATAATCTAGATAAAATAAACAATAGACTCACTGTGAAATTGCTGAATGATTCTTTAATCTAAATATATATTTATGCCAGAATATATTTTACCTCTATTACCATACTTCCCTTTTATTGTAATGTTTTGAGGCCCACTATAATATGCTGAAGCAGATGAGTTCTATATCCATATTCCTGAAATGTTTTGTTCTTTGCTTCGATTTGCGTTCCTCCATAGTAAAGCATTAAGCCAAATGTAGTCTCCTATTTTACTACATTAGATATTTTCCTAATTTAATCAAGTGAAAGGAGTTTGTTCCTTTGAACAGCAAATGAACCAGTTTTATCTCTGAAGTCTTAATATACAAACTTGGCATCCAAGTCCTTAACCTCACTCAATTTTGTCCCAAAGGTGTAGTCCACTTGCTAATTATCAAGAGTGAGTTGAAACAAGCATGGATATTCAATGTCCTCTTGTTTTTGTACCACTAGACTGTAGATTGTGTGTTCTGCAAATTCGCTAAGTCTTTATTAATCATTGACCAAAAGTCCATAAAAAACATCTGTATTAAGGGTAGACTTCTCAATAAATGAAACACTCGAGCTTATCTAAGCAAAGTCCAAAGTGCCTCTACTTTTGAACATATCATTCTAAATTTCAGAAAAGTGACTGCAAGATTATAATCTCACATCCAAATCCTCAATTTACTGAGCTTGTCTCAGAGTTGTCAACAAGCTTTCTCTTATTTATGGTCTTGAAAAGGGATCAAAATCACGAGATAGTAATATTTAATCTTAGTTCTTCTGAGAAATAAGAATTGGGTTGGCAACGAATTTTTTAGCATCTGGCAAAAAGTTCTTCAAATCTTATTGGAATAGAGCATTATACTAAAATCTCAATACATCTAGCTAAAAAAATAAAAATAAAAATAAAAATAAGCATATACCTTTTGCCTAAGGGCTGGTTTTTACTTAGGAACCAAACTCTGTTTTTCTTGTGGCAGTTAATTAGAAGAAGATGAAGCTCTGCTATCTTAATTTGGATTGTCCACATCAATTACCTCTTGATGACGAACACTTGATTATGATATTTGAGGAGGCATAATAGTTTTTAGGAATTTACCTTTGGTGCTCAAATATTCAACATGATTAAACAAGTCATTTTTCAAATCAGGTTTAAAAGCTTTATCGCTGGTAGAGACTATCCTAATCTATTTAAAATTTGTAGATATTTGTCCCTCTCTGTATACTTCTTCCTCTCTGAATAAACTCATTATTTACTTAATTTATATTATTTACAATTCCATTTTAAATTTAACAATAAGGGGTTTTGGGGTTTTGGGGTTTTGGGG